GGAAGGCGGGGTCCGCCCTCTCCGGGCCCCCTCCGTGCGCAGAGGGAACTGGGGTCACCCTAGTCTCATCTGCTGCTTGCGGACTATTATGTCCCCTTCCGCGCGGGCACCGGACACCAAGTATCTCGCGCGCGGACGTCTCTTTCTCTCGGAGTCCGCGCTGCGACTTGTCATTGTCCCGGGGAGGGATGGGAAGGCGTCCCTCCGCCCGGAGAAAACAGGTGTGTGGCGGCTTTGCGCCCTCCCACTGCCTGCGCCCATGTTCCCGCCCGTGGCCGCCAGTGAGGGTACTACCTTTGAAGCATAATTACAAATAATATCCTGTTTGATCCGTTGAAGACTGTGGACTGATTTGTGTGTTTAAGTGAATGCATTCCTTAAAAATATTGAAGTTAAAAAAAAATGCAGCAGCGTTTGCATTATCTGTCATTATTGAAAATTGGATGAAAACTTGTCTCTACTCCTTTTTTAAAAAAACATATTATTTAAACCAGTTTTTTTTTAAAAAAATCTTAATTTTGCACATACTTTGTGCCTCTTACTGTGAGAATATTTGACTTGCATTATCTATCTCATTTAATCCTCAAACACCTTGAGGAGTGTTATCACCATTGTACTGGGGATTAGAAACTTGAAGTACCTACTGTCTCACCAACCAATAGCTAGTACCAAAGATTTAATTAGATTCTGTAGGTCCAAATTTCTTACCTTCAGACATTATTTACTCATTCTCTTCATTTAGTGCTGGGTGGGTCTAGAGGAATTTAGGAAATCCAAGATACTTCAAGCCTAAGAAGATGAATGGCTTGTTGAGAGTGCCAATACTTGAGATTCATTATTTGAACTTAATTTTTATGGAAGTATTTTTTCCCAGCCCTGTTGTATTAAAATAAGGATATTAAAATGATTCACCATTTTCAGCATTTTATCTGAGCTTTAATGACAAGGCTTGGAATTCTAGTAGAGTCAAAGGAACTACTCATCAAGAAATGGGCTACGGGGTTAGTTGGTGCCATTTCCTTTCCTTAGAATTATTAACAAATTTAGATAAACAGTAGGTTAGGTGTGCACAAACCCTTTATGTTTAATGGACCCTGACATGGTAGAATCCATGTTGTTCAAGAGCCAGAGTTGGTGAAACCATTACTTTTCTTTTCCCTCATTGTCCGCCTCTCTTAAGGAAATAGAGGGAAAGGGAAGAAAAACAGTAGAGGAGCTGGCTTTTGATTATTGTTTTATTTCTCTGGAAGGCAGTGAACCCCTTGAAAAAGCTAGCAGGCATTCTGGGACTAGGGACAGACCTCTGTACAGGCACCTGTGTATCATCCCTCAGGACCTCAGAGTGTTCTTCAGAGATGACAAACTTCTCCTTGATTAAAGAAAGGTCTTCCTTTGCACTTAGAGCTCAAAAACCTGGAGAGGAGCAGCCACAAATTAAACATGGCTACTTGGCCATTCCATCCATCAGTTCAACTTTATAGCTGCCTCATGGAATCCTGGAGTTCACTGGAATTTATATTGGAAGCCATTGTCATTAGGTAAAGCCTGCCTAGATGCAAAGAAAAGAACTGGACATAATCCATCCACAGCTTTTGGAGATCTGTAAAGCTGGAGTAACTGTCAAAACGTTTACATACTCAGTGTTGTTGTTTTTACTAAAGGACTGCCTGTTCTACATTATAATAAGTTTTAAAAGTGCCCTCACAACACTTTCTGCCATCTTGACCTCTTTTTTAACCTGTTCCCAGAAATCAAGAAAAATTATTTAATGAGCACATGTTTAGGCTTCTGCAGAATAAAAAGGGGCATAAACCATCTGGAATAAAAGTATAATAAAATTTAACAATAATAAAAAAACATCTGGAGTCCTCGCACTGCTTTAATGCTATGGGGATGCACAGGTTGTTCTCATGGAGCTTATATTTAATTCAATGAGGTGACGAGAGTGGCAGAATCAAAACAATTGAGTAATGTTAAGCCTATATATATGTTCTAGAATATGTAGTATAGATTCTAAAAGCTGTAGGATAGAAAAGGAAAGAAGGTTGAATTTGGGCTGGTCTTGAAAATGTGGGTAGAACTCATATACAAAGAACAAAACAGTCATTCTCTGTTATCAGGCATTTGAATGCCTCTTCAGATTGTATCTTAACTTGATAAGGCCTCAGTAACACAACTCAAAGCCCATAATATTTACATTAATGTAAAACATTCTTACATTTCTTTTTAAAAAATTAAATATATTTTTATTGATTTCAGAGAGGGAGAAGGAGAGAGAGAGAGAAACATCAATGATCAGAGAGAATCATAAACTGGCTGCCTCCTGCACATTCCACACTGGGGATTGAGCCTGCAACCCAGGCATATGCCCTGACTTAACCGGGAATCAAACTGTGACCTCATGGTTCATAGGTTGACGCTCAACCACTGAGCCACGCCAGCCGGGCCTTACATTTCTTAACATATATTGATTTTTTCTGTATCTTTGCATGTGATGACTACATTAAACCAATTGGCTTTTTATTACTGCTGTAGTATTTTTTTTTTAAGTAGTACATCACTCAACAGTGAAGAGTTCTTCAGTTACATTAAATCTCTTTATGAGTTTGTGAGATTTAAGTAAAATTGACTTTCCCATATATTCATTACCTAATGGGTGGTGGCTCAATGGGTTACTACTCATTAATAGTGAGTGAAATGGCAGGGAAAATGACAATATTCGTGGACTAAGGTGGTGGTGGGATAATGTGTGACTGAGTTCTAGACTGTTCTGGTCAGATGTCCATGAATGTCTGCAGTGGTCACGTTATTTGGTTATGATCTGATGTTAAGAGTATCAGCCAGGCAGGCCTAGAGTCCTGGCATGATTAGCAATAGCAAACACATTTTCACATCCTTCTTTTTTCCCCCCAGTTCCTCATTGCTAGAATTATTAGAAACTAGAGGCTCAGTGCATGAAATTTGTGCATGGAAGGGAGGGTCCCTCAGCCCGGCCTGTGCCCTCTCGCAGTCTGGAATTACTCGGGAGATGTCCGCCTGCCGGTTTTCTTCTGACTGTTTTTAATATGTTCTCTGCCTTTGTTTTTTTGTTTCGTTCTGTTTTGTTTTTTGTAGTTTCCCTCTAATGCACCCAGGCATTAATTTTCTGTCTCCTCGCAGTCCTCGCAGTCTGGGACCCCTTTGGGGGATGTAGCAGTGCACCAAGTGGCAGGCGGCCAGGAAGGAGCCTAACCTGGTGCTGGGCACCACGCCGCTCGCGCTCATCCTGGCCCATTGCACCTGCCGCCGACACTTGGTAGTACTGCCGCGGAGTCAGGATGGGCTCCTGCCACCGCAGCTGCGCTCGCCAGCCGTGGGCCCAGCTTCTGGCTGAGTGGCACTCCCCCTATGGGAACTCACTGACCACCAGGGAGCAGTTCCTGCATTGAGTGCCTGCTCCCTGGTGGTCAGTGAGCATCATAACAACCAGTCGTTCTGGTTGTTCTGCTGTATTAGTCACTTAGGCTTTTATATATATAGATGTCTAGTGTATCACATCAGAAATTCTGTCATGAGAAGATTTTCCATGAATTTGGGATGTAAACACTAGTGTTTTTTTATACTTAACACATTGTGGGTAGTTTTTATTGTGCGCGCTAACAGGTGGCGCGGGCCATTTTTGCTAATTTTTTGCGCAAATGGCAACGTTCAGTAAAATTACGATAACTTTAGTTTACGTATTTATACGTTACCCACATTCTACCGCTAGTCTATAAAAAACATATTAATACGTGTCCCGTGCTCTACTACACTGGTAGAATGTATAAATACATAAAACATATAAATATGTTTCCCGCACACAATGTGTTAAATAAAGGGTTAAGGGGATGGGAGGAAGGCTGTCTGCCTCCTGTTTTGAAATATGAAATTAGGTTTGTTTTTGTTTTTCTTAAAATGGAAAGGCGCAGTAGTGCTGGGCTTGGCACAGGGGATGCTTAACTAATAATACCCAAGATTCCTGGTTCATCTTTCATAATAATACCACAGGTTATAACACCAGAGACAGATATAAATGAAAATACAGATACATTTGACTATATGAAAAGGAATATTTTGATATGGCAAAAGAAGAACTGTTAAAATTTAAAAACTTATGAAAAACTGGGGGAATTATTTGTACCAGATATCACTGAAAAAAAGTTTGCTATTTTATTTTATTTTTAATAAAAAATTTTATTACATTTATTGGAGTGACATTGGTTAATATGATCATACAGGTTTCAGGTGTGGGTTTCTATGTTACAA